TATATCTATATATATATCTACCGTAGTATACTTTTTTGTACATTTGTGTACAAGAATCATCCTGTATTCTTCACCTCTCTAGAGAATGTGTTAATTATGGCCTCTATTAATAAGAGAGGATTTTAATTTCGAGTTTTATCTTTGCCATTCTCCTCTGAACGCGTTTGTGTGAATTTATGTAAATTATATAATATCGAGACCAAAGCTCAACTATATAATCTAAATAGAGCCTAACAAGGGCAAGATACAGCTGAAGAATGCCAATTTTTAAGTCAACTGCTGGAGGGTTTAAGGCCACTACGAAAGCTTACTGTCCAATTAGCAAGTACACTTCAGTTCTGAATATTAAGACTTAGGTAAGCTGTCAGTCATTCGTATCATTGCAAATGCTTCTAAAACAAATCCCAACATCCTCTTTGTCTCCTTTACAACATTTACGCATTGATATTTTGGTTTAAAATCCCAACGAATTATGGCTCTCGAGATATTTTCACATTCAGATTTCGAAATACCAACATTATCCAAAAATGATACTTGGTAACTATCTATATTTACCAGGCTCTGACTGCTAAACTGCTTCTGCCAATCATTCGACCATTTTGAAAGCATATGTGGAACGTGATGAATCGATTGTTTTAGTTTTCTACTCAATTAATTTCACGACATACTTTCTATGAAGTGATCATTAGAGCAAAGAGTTACAGTAACATAACAAAGATATACTTATTCGGTGTTTTCAGTCTGCCACAATTATTAACAATAAGAGCTGAAGGAAAATTTACACGGGGGAGACATCTCCCGTCACGCAGGGTGCAGTCGCACCTCCACAGATCTCCAATATCAGCTCTTGATACTGGTAATGGCTCAAAACGGCCACCACTTACGGGCTATTCATGCCCGTGCCACCTTTTGGGTGGCTTAATCTTCTTCAGTCATCTCAATGAAAATTAACTGCAGTGTTATTAATACAAAATTAAGATTTCTCGTAAATCTCAATGAACTTTAAGTACGTATCATCGTCACGCTCAATTTACCGCAGTGAACACCGGACAACAGAAGAGGCTTTTTCACCCATAGGGCTATAGACCTATGGCACCACCACCTCGCTTTTGGGCCCCGCGAAGGTCCACTTGTAGAGCGAGTTGACCTCAAGTAAATTCAGGCAGCATTTGAAGATGACCCTAAATTTTGGCGAGTGAGACAATGAATATTGATACAGATGCAGATCAGAGAGCTCTGAACATGTCTGCGGAATTCAGAGCACGTCAGTCTAACTCCACTTTTGTCAGTGTAGACGCATCACTAATTAAACAGGTTCTTGTATACACCAATTTCCACCTGGTCAGTATTAGCTTCCTGCATTATTTGGAGCTTAAAGCAATGTGTTTATTTGTTAAACAGACAAGGCTGGAT